ATTATTTTTTTAAAGATATATATATATATATATATATATTTATATACATATATAGTGATCTTTGGAATTTTAAAAAATAAAATAAAATAAACCTGCATGGAAAATCTAAAATGTTATCAAAATGTTAAAAGCTTAATCTGAATTCTGAACTGTGCTAGAACTAGTTGGTGCCAGCATCATAGTTGTAAAAAATTTACGCGTACACAAATTCGTAATTAATTTGATTTGTTTCGTCGCTCATTCTTACTAAACACCGTTTACACCTATATATTTTAGGCCTGAGTCAAAATTAGTTGAAGCAATTGTAGAAGATGTTTTGAGGAAATTGAATCGTGGATCGTCATCAAATTTTATTGCTAAGGGTCTCATTGGGATTGAGAGAAAGATTGCAGAAATCAAATCATTATTAAGTGTTTCTTCTCCAAAAGTACGCATTGTAGGCATTTGGGGAATGGGCGGCATGGGTAAAACTACACTCGCCCAAGTTATATTTGATCAACTCTCTTCTCAATTCGAAGCTTGTTGCTTTGTTGCAAACGTGAGGGAAGAATCGGAGAAGGGATCATTGATTAACTTAAGAAATAAGCTTCTTTCTGAATTATTAAGGGAAGAAAATCTAAATGTGGGAACCCCATCTCTAGGACCAACTTTTGTCAAAGAGAGGCTCAAGCGTACGAAGGTTCTCATTGTTCTCGACGATGTTAACCATGTCGAGCAATTAAATTCTTTTGTTGGGGACCGTGACCAATTTAACCGTGAAAGCAGAATCGTTGTAACAACTAGAGATGCTATGGTGCTTAGGGGCATGGCAGTGGATGGAATGTATGAGGTTAAGCAATTACATTTCAATGAGTCTCTTCAACTATTTAATTCGATAGTTTTTGAAGGAAACTCTCGGGATATGGATTATATGGAGCTATCGAAAAATGTGGTAGAGCATGCTGGAGGCCTTCCATTGGCAATTACAGTTTTGGGTAAACACTTTCGTTCCCTGAGCCAAGAAATTTGGGAAATGGCGTTAGAGAAACTAAAAAGTGTTCCTCATAATGATATTCACAATGTGTTGAGAATAAGCTATGATGGGCTGGAGAAAATAGAGAAAGATATCTTTCTAGATATTGCATGTTTCTTCAAAGGGATGCGTAGACATTTGGTGGAAAAGATACTTAATGGTTGCGAGTTTTTCGCAAGTATAGGTGTGGATATTCTCATTGATAAGTCCCTCGTAACTATTGATCCTCGTTATAATAGGCTTCAAATGCATGATCTATTGCAAGAAATGGGTAAAGAAATTGTTTGTCAAGAATCTAAAGAAGTTGGGAAGCGCAGTAGGCTATGGATTACTGAAGAGGCTTGTCAAGTCCTAGAGAACAATGAAGTAAGTGATAGTGTATTTCAATGATTCACTTTAGAATTGCATTAATAACTTGTGGATTAAGCGATTACACCAATCTATTGTTTATTGAGATATCTTCATGTATACAATATTAACTTAGATTGCTTTTAATTTTTTCATGATATATAAGTACATTCCTTGTGTGTGTACACATAACAGTACTGAAGTAACTTGTCATATACTCTATATGTTGATACGAAAATGACAGGGGACTGCAAAAGTTGAAGGAATATTCCTAGACTTGTCCAAAATTGATGAAGAGATACACTTGGAACCTACAGCTTTCAGAAAGATGTCTAATTTGAGATTGCCCAAAATTTACAATTCCTCTTCTGTCAAGAAAGGCAAATTGGACCTTGAAGATCTCCAGTATCTTCCTCGTTCACTTAGGTATCTCGAATGGCATGAATATCCTCTAAAATATTTACCATCAAACTTTAAGCCAAAGAATCTTGTTGACCTAAAAATGCCCTACAGTCACCTTGAGCAACTTTGGGTTGGAGTCCAGGTATATATCCTACACTGTGGTACTAAACCTAATTTATAAGGCATAGTTTAGTTATTATTCTCATTTCTTTATGTCACAGGACCTTAACAAGTTAAGAGAAATTGATCTAAGGCACTCCATTCACCTAACTCAAATTCCAGATCTGTCAAGTGTTCCAAATCTTGAGAGAATAAATCTCGAGTATTGCACAAATTTGCTTCAAGTTCCTTTGAACACTCAGCAAAATGTTAACAAGCTTATTGATGTGGATCTAAGCCACTGCTACCAGCTTCAGAATGTTCCAGATAGTATATTTGCTGCTGCCTCTATGACAACTCTTACTCTCATAGGCTGTACTTGTCTCAACACTCTTCCAATGACTATAACCCGGAGCCTTGTGTCTTTAAATTTAAGTTCAACTGGAATAACGTCTTTGCCTTCATCAATTGTCTCTCTCAATAATCTTTCGAAATTGTCTCTCAGAAACTGTACAAGACTTGCAAGTCTTCCAAGTTGCATGAATAAGCTGGATTCTCTAGAGGAACTTGAATTAGGCGGCTGCTCAATTCTTGACATGTTTCCAGAGCTTCCATTGAATATAATGAGGTTGGATATTGAAGGGACAGCAATAAAGCATGTGCCCTCATCATCAATTGAGGATCGATTTTATCTTTGGAGTATTAAAATGTCCAATTGTAAAAGTCTTACGAGTTTACCATCCAACATTTTTAAGATGAGGTCTCTTTGTGATCTTAATCTTAATGGTTGCGCGAATTTGAAGAGCCTTCCGGAAATCTTACAGCCTGTGAAAATTTCAAGACGGCTTTATTTAAGCGGAACGGGGATTAGAGATATGGCTAACCTTTTGCGTCTCGATCTTTCTGATTGTCCAAAACTTGAATATTTTCCATTCTCAAGTGGTTTCCACCGTTGGAATTTGGAAACTCTTGATCTCAGTCGGTCTACTATAATAGCAATCCCTACAAGCGTCGGAGATCTTTCTAAGCTGAGAACGATTTACTTAGAAAATTGCAAGAATCTTCGTTCTATACCAGAGCTTCCATTGGGTTTGCAATTTCTTGATAAAAGAGAAAGCACGTCGTTGGAGCTTCCATTTGTGATTGCTTGAAATTGGATCAGAAGCAGCGTCAAAGTATTTTAATGGAATTCCAGCTTAGAGTTTTTCGGACCGCTACACGAATTATATGTAAAGGCCATGAGGTACGCTTTCTTTGTTTTATGTTTAAAAAAAAAAAAAAATCTGAACTAGTTATGCAATTGATATAGAGCTTGAATCTCTTCTATGGTAGGTTGCCTTGTTCGATTGGTGCGTGTTGTCCGGGTTATGAAATTCCTAAGTGGCTTGGGTGTCAATCAGAGGGATCTTTTATTGATATAAAGCTTCCACTGGAAAGGCAGAATTTCAAGTTCTTGGGTATTGCATTTTGTGTTGTTGGTTACTCTTATTCTGACAGCGAATTCCTGCATTTAAGATGTGATGTCAATCTTAAAGCGAACCAAGGGGAAAACAGAGAATTCACGTCGGTGTTTAAGTATATTGATGAAGTTTGCATGAAGTTTTCAAGTAATGTGTGGATGTGGTATGTGCCTGATGACTATCATAAATGGCTCAATCCAGTGGAGGCGTCATTTGACTTTTCATTGGTGGGATGGGATAAGAGAAAAAGTAGACGGTTTAAGACTTCCATGCATGAAGTGAAGAAGTGTGGGATCCACCTGGTATATCAAAAAGAAATAGAGGAATTCAGATTCAATTTCATCAATGCTGGCCAACATCATGTACTTGAGGAATCCGCAGCCGAGCAGCCTGAATCCATTCCACGCGGAAGGGTCGACTTTGATACAGATGAACGGTCGACGTCGGATGACTAATGTTGATGGAAAGAGAAGGATTTTTATTGTTCTCTGGTTCTTAGTACCAAAGTGTTTGTTTTATCATGATCTGTTTATTTTCTGAAATGTAGTAAACTCACCAATCAGATAATGGGGTCCTTGTTACCATTGAACTTTGGCATTTCCTATTTCTTAGGTGCTTTACAAACGTGAAACAGTTTTTCATATTTCGGACCTGTTATCCGTTGACTCTGAAATCCTACCAGTTGAGTTTCCATAGCTGATATGCCACCCAACATCAGTAAGTGGGTATTAGTGATCAAAGAGAATTCATATAATAAATAACCTTTTAACATGATGTTATTTTCAGTTATTGTTTCAAACGCATTGAGATTGGTATTTAATTCAGTTCAGTATTTAGCCAAAATCCTTGCAGTATCAGGTCATAATCCTTTTAGTTCATGTAACGATGAATCTATTTCTTCTACTATTAATTTTATGTAGAATTGGTTGAGATCCAATTTGTCCCTCTTTCATAGCCACGATTATCCAACTTATGAACTTTGCTCGTGTTATTTCCATGAAAATGATATAGAGGATGTTTTGGTCATGCTTCAATAAGTTTTTGATAAGTCCATTTCTTTATCACGTTTTTATTTGCAGTATAATGAGAAGTGCTTCAGGGTGCTGCATTGTGATATTTTTGAAGAGGAAAGACAAACTCAATTATGGTGTTTCCCAAAGAAAGAGTTAAATTGCAAGAGAAAACTGATGGAAGATATCTTTATGGTGTTTCCGAATGTGGTAAGATTTTGTTAACTAACATTAGCATTAAGTTGGGACTAGGAAGTGTTGCTTCTTGTCGCTATTTTGTTAACTAACATTAACATTAGAGAAACTCTTAAAATAACTCTCTCTTTTCTTTCCTTCTCGGTCGCTGCATTGGCTCTCTCTTGTTCGCCGCTGCTCATTGTGGACTGCTTTGAGAAAAATGCAGGTGATGTTACTGGTTATCAATTCATGTGTCCTTGTTGGTTGCTGCTGCACTTCTAGTTAAATCAGTCATATCAGCATTGATTGTCCCAAAAGGACGACAAATAATTCACTTCAGGGTTTGATTATATTCGTGAAGTTTGCATAAAGTTTTCAAGTAATGTGTGGATGTGGTATGTGCCTGCCAACTAGTTCGTAAGAAGATTTCACACAATTTTTTACTTTTACTTATTTGATTACCTTAAAGTTTGATCATCTCACGCTTTATGAAAAAAAAAAACTATTGCTAGTGTATATAACACGTGTCCTAACATAAATTTTCCCACATATATCCTTTCGATCTTTGAAATAATAAAACAGTGCAATTATATATTACGTCAAGTGGTGGGCTCCTTCACGTGGAGGCAATTATTCCTGCCTCCTTTTATCTTCAAATTCCATGAAATTTTTTCAGCACATAATATTCACGCGGTATGCTTTTTTCTCTTTCGTGATAATTAATATTGATGCGGTATTAATATTCATACGTTAAACAAACGTTGGAAATAAGTCGGCATTACATGGCAAACGTTGACTCACTAGTCTTCCCAACAGTGGGAAGGCAAGAAAAATTTCTCAACACATAACAAGTCTTGCTTTTCATGAATCTCTGCCTTCTCAAAAACCTCAAAACTAGAGAGCTTTCATTTTGTAAGAAACACAAAAGCTGAGAAAGAGAGAATTTTTGCTCGTAGTTTTGATCCTAGGAGTGATCGACATGGATGCTGGTGGAGCTTCTTCTTCTGCTTCTTCTACTTCAGAGAAATATGATGTTTTACTGAGTTTTAGAGGTGAAGATACACGCAATACTTTCACAAGCCATCTTTACGCTGCTTTGGAGCGAAAGAAAATTAAGACCTACATAGATGAGAAAAGTCTTGAGAGAGGAGACAGAATCTCGCCTGCACTTCTTGAAGCTATCCGGATCTCAAAGATTTCGGTTATAGTTTTCTCAAAAGATTATGCTTCATCATCATGGTGCTTAAGTGAGCTTGTGCATATACTTGAAAGCCACCGAGAAAATAAACATATGGTTATACCCATTTTCTACGACGTAGAAAATAAACATATGCCATCATGGTGCTTACATGGTTGAGCCTTACTTTTATAAATGTCTACCATCTCAAAAACGTCAAGACTCTAACATATGCCATTTTCTACGACGTATGTTTTTTTCTGGTTTGTGATAATTAATATTCACGCGGTATTAATATGCATACGTTAAACAAACGTTGGAAATAAGTCGGGACTACATGACAAACGTTGACTCACTAGTCTTCCCAACAGTGGGAAGGCAAGAAAAATTTCTCAACACATAACAAGTCTTGCTTTTCATGAATCTCTGCCTTCTCAAAAACCTCAAAACTAGAGAGCTTTCATTTTGTAAGAAACACAAAAGCTGAGAAAGAGAGAATTTTTGCTCGTAGTTTTGATCCTAGGAGTGATCGACATGGATGCTGGTGGAGCTTCTTCTTCTGCTTCTTCTACTTCAGAGAAATATGATGTTTTACTGAGTTTTAGAGGTGAAGATACACGCAATACTTTCACAAGCCATCTTTACGCTGCTTTGGAGCGAAAGAAAATTAAGACCTACATAGATGAGAAAAGTCTTGAGAGAGGAGACAGAATCTCGCCTGCACTTCTTGAAGCTATCCGGATCTCAAAGATTTCGGTTATAGTTTTCTCAAAAGATTATGCTTTATCATCATGGTGCTTAAATGAGCTTGTGCATATACTTGAATGCCACCGAGAAAATAAACATATGGTTATACCCATTTTCTACGACGTAGAAAATAAACATATGCCATCATGGTGCTTACATGGTTGAGCCTTACTTTTATAAATGTCTACCATCTCAAAAACGTCAAGACTCTAACATATGCCATTTTCTACGACGTATGTTTTTTTTCTGGTTTGTGATAATTAATATTCATGCGGTATTAATATGCATACGTTAAACAAACGTTGGAAATAAGTCGGGACTACATGACAAACGTTGACTCACTAGTCTTCCCAACAGTGGGAAGGCAAGAAGAAATTTCTCAACACATAACAAGTCTTGCTTTTCATCTTCCCAATTCGCTTAGATATCTTGACCACCAAACGTTAAGCCGAAGAATCTTGTTGAACTGACGATGCCTTTTAGTCAACCGAAGAATCTTGTGTGGTGCAAAAGTTTGCTTCAAGTTCCTTATTCACAGATTCAGAGAAATCTTAACAACCTTGTTGCTATCAATTTGAGCAATATCAAGAAACTTTAGAGTGTTCCAGATATAATATTTGATGCGGCAACTCTTACTCTTGAAGGTTGTTCCAATCTCAACACTCTTCCATTAATGATTACAACTAGGAGTCTCGTGTCTTTAGATTTAAGTTATTACCGCAATAAAGGACTTGACTTTATCAAGTGATTCTCTCCAAAATCTTTCTAAATTGTATCTTAATAAGTGTGAAAGACTAACAAATCTTAACGGTGTGAATAACCTGAACTCCTTAAAAATTTCTTCAATTACAATACTGCTCAAATCTCCAGAAGCTTCCAGAGCTTCCAACTAATATCGATGAGTTGCATATTTCTGGGAGGGCACTAATATACATGTGCTTCTGTTGAGTCTGGAATGCAAGGGAATGCACATTGTTGGAGGTGGTGTCAATTTCAGAAAGAGCGCTCACACAAGAGTCTCAGAATAATTATCATGTTACACAGAATACTTCATGTTAAAAGCATCTGTGGCCGTGGATTAAGGGGTCTTGAGTGGATGACGTGGAGCATTGAGTGTACAAGATTCAATGGAATAGTCTTATTGTTACAAGTGGTCTAGTCGGTGAGCTTAGGTGTATATTACTAAGCGTACAGTGTAAAATTCTTCTAGATTGTAACAGAAAGAAAAAGGACTTAGAGAGAGATTGAGAGACTGTGATTTCTGGAGAGAGAAAGTCCAAGAAGAAAGAGTCTGTAATCTTGCAAACGTCTAGAATAAAAGTTTACATTTTTCCTTTCCATCTTTCTCTGTGATTGAGCCTTTGTTCTGTGACTGGTTGTTTTATTCAACAAATTGGTATCAGAGCCTTTGTTCTGAGAATCAAGAATGACGATGGCAAAGTTCGATATTGAGAAGTTTTCCGGGAAGAACGATTTTGGTCTATGGCGGTTGAAGATGCGAGCGCTCCTGGTTCAACAAGGATTGGAAGATGCGCTGGGAGGAGAGAAGAATCTGCCAGTGTCCCTAACGGAGCCGAAGA